GGAGAAGTGGGCAGTTGCGAACAGGATGCAATTCAACAAAGATAAATGCACAGTATTACATCTGGGCCACAAAAATGTCAAGCGCAAATACTGGATGGGGGATATGTTTCTAGGGAGTAGTGTATGTGAAAGAGATCCTGGGGTAAGAGTGGACTGTAAACTAAATATGAGCAGTCAGTGTGATGCGGTGGCAAAAAAGGCTAATTCAGTCTTGGGTTGTATTAAAAGGGCCACAACACTGAAATCGCAGGAGGTCATAGCCCCTCTGTATATTGCCTTGGTCAGGCCGCACCTTGAGTACTGTGTGCAGTTCTGGAGGCCTCGCTTCAAAAACGATGTGTGCAAAATTGGGAAGGTGCAGAGGAGAACAACGAGGATGATCGGGTTTGGAGACTGAGCACTACGAGGAAAAGCTAAAGGCCTTGGGAATGTTTGGAGAAGAGGAGATTGAAGGGGGACATGATTGCTCTCTTTAAATATTTGAAAGGCTGTAATTTGGAGAAGGGCAGGGAGCTGTTCCAGTTGGCAGCAGAGGACAGAACCTGAAGCAACGGGTTTAAATTACATGCAGAAAGTTATCAGCTGGATATTAGGAAAACCTTTTTCATGGTCAGAGTGGTTCAAAGGTAGAATCGGCTGCCTAGGGAAGTGGTAAGCTCCCCTTCACTGGCAGCTTTCAAGAAGAGGCTGGATGAATATTTGTCAGAGATGCTTTAGGCTGGTCCTGCATTGGGCAGAGGGTTGGACTAGATGGTCTGTATGGCCCCTTCCAAGTCTATGATTCTATGAGTATGAGCTTTCGTGAGTCAGCGTTCATGAGGAGGGAGCTCAGCAGAGAGAGAACTCCTCCCTTTTCTCCTTCCCTTTCTGTAAAATGAGGAAAATTATATTCTTTCTTCCCACAATGTCTGAGGAAGTGAGCTCTGACTCACAAAAGCTCATGCTGGAATAAATGTTGTTTGCCCTTTAAGGTGCCTCTGGTCTTTTGTTATGCTACAATAGATCAACACAGCTACCCCACTGAAATTAAAAAGGGTTAAGTCTATGTATGGCCAAGGCTAGCTCAATCTTGTCGGATCTCAGAAGCTAAGCAGGGTTGGCCCTGGTTGGCACTTGGATGGGAGATAACCAAGGAAGTCCAGGGTTGCTAGGCAGAGGCAGGCAATGGCAAACCACCTTGATTAAATGCCCTGGAAACCCTACAGGGCTGCCTTAAGTTGGCTGCAATTTGTCATCACCAAGTCTCTGTAAGTGGGTATTTGCTGATGATGTAAGATCTGTGATGCTGGATTTGTGTATTATAGTTATAATTGAGAGAATATCTAACCCAGCTTGTTCCCAACTGTGCTAGATGTCTACTTGCGGAGAGGTTTTCATATAGGGGAATATTAATTGTATTAAAAATGTGACATCTGTTGTCTGAAGTGGGACAATCAGTTCTGGTGCTCTGGAATTCTTCCACCTCATTCCACCTTATTTTGCTGCATAGGGAGAACTTTGCTAAGCTAATTATGTGATGTGTCTAGCACTATTATGGAAGATCTTCACTATTTCTGCTTTATGAACTGGGTACTGGCAGCTGAAAGGCTTGCCCAGGGTAATTTAGTGCATTTGAACATAGCTCTCCCATGTCTACCCACAACATTAATTTGTCCATTTGAACTTTTAAAAGTTAAAAATAAGTTTAGAAAATGTTAAATTATTGCATAATGGTTAAGATTCACAGCACAAAAATAGAGGATTGAACATCTTTTTATATGCCAGGTTCCATTCCAGTTAAAAGTATGTATTGCCAGAAATTCTACATCATAATCACTTCCTCTCTCTTTCTCTCTCTGCAGTAAATCTATACATTGAATTACCAAATGTGTTCAGGATGTGATGCAAAGACTAAAATAAATTATTTCATAATCATGTTTGGGTAGTTGTACAGAACACATAATGAATTCTGCTTTTCTCTTTCTAGCTGATAGCATCCATCGTGTTTATCAGCTTTGGAGTGGTAGCAGCTTTCTGTTGTGCAATAGTTGATGGTGTGTTTGCAGCACGACACATAGTGAGTATATCTTTTGATATTCTTCTTCTTTCCTGGTTAACACAGAGATGCTTATGCCAGGAAGAAATTCTGGTTGCTGTTGAATTCTAATTACTTACCTTGTTATCTTGCGAAACGAAAATAAATTCTATTTATCCAGTTGTATGGTAGAACACCCTTAGGGTTGCCAACCCCCCCGGTTTGCCAGGGGTCCCCCATTTTTTTGGGGAAGCCCCACCCCCAACACCCACAGCCGACCATCTCTCTCCCTTTAAGTGTGTGGAACCTGTGTTTCCTCCCAAGCCTGATCTCCACAAGCTTGCAGGGAAATGCCAGCTTCGTGCTCTTAAAAGGGAAACACGGCTGCTCTTAAAGGGGAAACGCTGCTCCTGCATTTAAAAGGGAAACACCGGCTCCTTTAAGTGCAGGGAACTGCCATTTCTGGAGATCTGGCGCACGGGTGGGGGGGGGCGGATGTCCCCAACGTGACGTCATAACGTCAGGGATGCCCCCCCCAGGAACGCCCCCAAAGTCCCCCGCTGGGGGTGGAAGATGGACTTGCCAACCCTAAACACCCTTCAGAAGCTACATCAGTGTGAAAATGTAGAGGTGTTTCAAAGACAGTGGCTTTGCTTTAGTGCAGCGTTTCCATGGACATAAGCATTTCCACCCATGAAGTGTGACCTTCTCATCTCCCCGTTCCACTGCAGCCAAAAATACCCCCTGCAATGTACTTGGAGCAGCATTTCAAGGGGTATTTTGGGTTGTAACAGGAGCAGAAAGTGAGAAAGACATGGTCTGCAAGTGAAATGCTTCCACACATGAAAATGTTGCACTGGATCCAAACCAAGGTCCTTAACTTGGGTCTTTTGCACTTCCTTATGGGAAGCCTTAGTGTTGTTGCAGCTGGCGATACAACACAGCAGCAATGGGAATTCCAGATGGCAACCATCTCTGCCTTTTCCCTGCCCTAGTCTCTATAGCAGTCATTCCCTTCCCCATATTGTCTGGAGAGGGACTTTTTAGAGAAGGGAGAAAAGGCATTTAAAGGGAACACGGTCCCTTTAAATGTCTTTTGCAAGCCACAAGTTGACGCAAGTGAACTCCAAAGGTGTTTAAAGGGCTTGCAATCCCTTTAAACGCCTTCTTCAAGCCATGAGATCACCTGGAAAGTGTTTAAAGAGACTGGAATCCCTATAAACACCCTTGAACTTCAGCTATCCCGCAGTCCCAAAAAATCCCAAATATTTTTGGGATATTTGGGACTCCGCTATTTCAGATAACTGAAAAAATACTGAGATCTATATCCAGCTGAAAGAATATTCAGAAAATATCGAGAATATACCTGAACCCGAAAAATACCGGGTTTTTTGCACACCTTTAGTATAGATTTTAAAAACTCAAAAAGCCCCTTGGTATGTGGGTAGGGGGTGATGATTATGGAGATTGGGTCAGGGAAAATGGCTGCAGTGTGGCTGCAACCAGGACATCCAACTTTCCTGCCCGGATGGCAGCCAGCCCTCCTTTGCTGTGAACATTCCCAAAACATCACAACAAAAAGGGTTTGGGAAACACTGCAGAAAAGTCAAGGAAAATCCGGGTGGTGCATAGGGTTGCCAACCTCCAGGTGGTTGCTGGAGAGCTCCCAAAATTGCAACTGACCTCCAGCCAACAGAGATCAGTTCCCCTGGAAAAAATGGCTTGGAGGGTGGACTCTATGGCATTACACCCTGCTGAGTTCCCTCCCCTCCCCAAACCCCACCTTCCCCAGGCTCCACCCACCAAATCTCCACATATTTCCCAGTGTAGAGCTGGCACACCTAGTACTGGTGAATGGAAACACCATGATGTTGCAGGGAAGCAAAGGGAAACCCCCCCACTTCCCAACAGCATTGAACTTGGGCCACAATACCCATGTGGAAACAGCCATTATTCCTTTGTGTAGAATTATATAGATGTGAACAGGGGTCATTTCCTGCAGGAGCGCACAGGAGCAGAGCTCCAGCAGTAAAGAGCCCAGTGGGCGGGCACATGCAACGAGCCCCACCCCCTGCTCCCAGCTGCCCTCAGTCAGAGCAAGAAACAGCCAGGTAAGTTGCAGAGGGGCCCCCCCCGCCCAAAACAGTCTAGTGGCACCTTTAAGACTAAGTTTTATTCAGGTACAAGCTCTCCCTCCTCTGCGAAAGCGAAACCATAGTTGCATGTTCCCCCCCCCCCCAATAGCTAGCAATCCAAAAAAGTACAGTGAAGGCTGAGCAGTGGGTGTTGCCTTCTGACACACTTCCAGTGATGTCAGGGAGTGTGGCGTATTCAAATAAGTTATGCTAATGAGTTACGCTAATGAGCTCCTGCACCTCTTTTTCTACAAAATGACCCCTGGATGTGAAAAGCCTGTAAACTCTGCCATACTGCACCAAAAGCCCATTTTAAAAAAGAGGAGGGGGGTTAGTGCCTGGGGGGGAAGTGAAACAGTGAAAGAAAAGCAAAAACAAACACAACCCCCTTACAAATGTATACAATGTTTGTTTATGTAAAACTAAATATTGACAGTGAAGACACTCAACGATTGCTTTTACTTGCAAGAAATACATGTTCTAAAAATCTCTGAAGACTAGACTAGTGGTGTAGTTAGGTAATTTGGAAATCTGGACTTTATGGTGTTTT